GTTTTTTTTTTGTATAGTATCATGTCATCTGCGAATAAGGACAGTTTTACTTTTTCTTTTCCTATTTGGATGCCTTTTATTTCTTCTTCTTGTCTGATCACTATGGCTAGCACTTCCAGTACTATATCGAACAGGAGTGGTGACAGTGGGCATCCCTGTCTTGTTCCTGTTCTTTGGGGAAATGGATTTAGTTTTTGTCCATTGAGTATGATGTTGGCTGTAGGTTTGCCATATGTGACTTTTATTATGTTGAGGTATGATCCCTCTATTCCCACTTTGCTGAGAATTTTTATCAAGGAAGGGTGATGGATTTTGTCCAATGCTTTTTATGCATCGATCAATATGATTATGTGATTTTTTTCTCTCAATTTGTTTATGTGATGTATCACATTATTGATTTGTGGATATTGTACCATCCTTGCATCCCCGGAATAAATCTCACTTGGTCATGATGTATCTTTCTAATGTAATGCTGGATTCGATTTGCTAGAATTTTGTTGAGGATTTTAGCATCTATGTTCGACAGGGATATTGGCCTGCAATTCTGTTTCTTTGTAGTGTCTGTATCTGGTTTTAGTATTAGGGTAATGCTGGCTTCATAGAAAGAGCTTGAAGTGTGTCTTCCTCTTGAATTTTTTGGAATAGTCTGTGGAGGATAGGTTTTAGTCCTTCTTTGAATGTTTGGTAAAACTCCCCTGTGAAGCCGTCAGGACCAGGGTTTTTGTTTGCTGGAAGTTTGTAGATTACTGCTTCAATTTCATCGATAGTAATTGGCCTATTCAGTTTTTTTATTCTTTCTGATTGAGTTTCCAAAACTTGTATTTTTCTAAGAATTTTTTCCATTTCATCTAGGTTGTCCAGTTTGCTGAAGTAAAGTTGTTCATAGTATTTTTTACAATCCTTTGTAAGTCTGTAGGGTTGGTTGTTACTTTACCTCTTTCATTTCTGATTTTGTTTATTTGGGTCCTCTCTCTTTGCTTCTTGGTGAGCTTGGCTAGAGATTCATCAATCTTGTTTATCCTTTCAAAGAACTAGCTCTTGGTTTTGTTGATCTTTTGTATTGTTTCTTTGGTCTCTATGTCATTTATTTCTGCTCTAATCTTTATTATTTCCTTCCTTCTGCTTAAGCTAGGCTTTTCTTGATACTCTCTTTCTAACTCTTTGAGTTGTAGGTTGGACAATTTATTACCTTTTTTTCTTGTTTTTTTGAGGTAGGCCTGTAGAGCTATGAACTTCCCTCTCAGGACTGCTTTCATTGTGTCCCATAGATTTTGGATTGTTGTGTCTTCATTGTTGTTTGTTACCAGGATGCTTTTTATTTCTTCTTTGATCTCCTTGGTAACACAATCATTGTTTAATAGCATGCTATTTAGCCTCCAAGTGTTTGATTGTTTTCATTGCAGTTGATTTCAAATATTATGCCATTGTGATCTGAGAAGATGCTTGATATGATTTCTATCTTCTTGAATTTGAAGAGACTTTGCCTGTGTCCCAACATATGTCTATCTTTGAAAATGTCCCATGTGCACTTGAGAGAAAATATATTCTGTGGATTTGGGGTGAAATATTCTGAAGATGTCAAATAATTCCTTCTGATCTAGTGAGTCATTTAGGATTGCTGTTTCTTTGCTGATTTTTTGTTTAGAGGATTTATCCAGTGGTGTTAGTGGTATATTAAAGTCCCCTACTATGACTGTATTGCTATTGAACTCTCCCTTGATATCTTCCAGAAGTATTTTTTATGTATTTGGGTGCTCCTGTATTGGGTGCATATATGTTTACCAGAGTTATATCTTCTTGTTGAATTGCTTTCTGTAGTATTATGAAGTGGCCTTCCTTATCTCTTGTTATGGCCTTCACTTTGCGGTCTAATTTGTCAAATATAAGTATTGCTACCCCAGCTTTTTTTTTTTCATTTCCATTCGCCAGAAATTTTTCCCCCATCCCTTCACTATCAGTCTGTGTGACTCCTTTGTTCTGAGGTGGGTTTCCTATATACAGCAGATATATGGGTCATGTTTCCTAATCCATTCAACTACCCTATGTCTTTTGATTGGGGCAATTAATCTATTTACATTTAAAGTTATTGTTGATAGGTACTTGTTTGTCACCATTTTTATTCTTTTTTTAAATATTTTTATTGATTTTTTACAGAGAGGAAGGGAGAGGATAGAGAGTTAGAAACATCGATGAGAGAGAAACATCAACCAGCTGCCTCCTGCACACCTCCCCACTGGGGATGTGCCTGCAACCAAGGTACATGCCCTTGACCGGAATCGAACCTGGTACCTTTCAGTCTGCAGGCCGACGCTCTATCCACGGAGCCAAACTGGTTTGGCACCATTTTTATTCTTTATGCCTGTGTTCCTTCTTCCCTTCCTATTTCTTCTTTTTATAGCACTTCCTTTAACATTTCTTGCTTTGCTGGTTTGGTGGTGATAAATTCCCTTAGTCTCTTTTTGTCTGTGAAGCTACTGATTTCACCTTCAATTTTGATTGATACCCTTGCCCGGTATAGTATTCTTGGATTCAGACCCTTCCTTTGCATGACTTTGTATATTTCATTCCATTCCCTTTTGGCCTGATGTGTTTCTGTTGAGAAATCAGTTGATAGTCTGATGGGAGATTACTTGTAGGTAACTTTCTCTCTCTCTCTGGCAGCCTTTAAGATTCTTACTTTGTCGTTGGTGTTTGCCAATTTAATTATAATGTGTCTTCGTGTGGGTCTTTTTGGGTTCATCTTGTTTGGGACTCTGTGAGCTTCTTGGACTTATGTGACTTTTTTCTTCCCCAATTCAGGGAAGTTTTCTGTCATTCTCTCTTTGAAGAGGATTTCTATTCTTTGCTCAGTTTCCTCTCCTTTGGCACCCCTGTTATGCAGATGTTGTTTCATTTCGTGTTGTTCCAAAGCTCCCTTACACTCTCCTCCTGTTTTTTTTTTTAAATTTAATTTTGTTTTATTTCTTAAAGGATTACAAAGAGTATTACACATGTCTCCTTTTTACCCCCCCTTGACATTCCCCCGGCCTCCCCTACCCCCAGTGTCTTGTGACCATTGGTTATGCTTATATGCATGCATACAAGTCCTTTGGTTGATCTCTTACACCTCCCCTCCCCCCAAGAAATTTTTAAATACAATTCAGGGTAGTGGTGAGGGAATAATAAGAGACAGTCTCAACCTCTCAGGGGTCATCTCAACCTCACTGAGGCTGTTTTAACCTCACCGGGGCTGTTTCAACCTCACCGGGGCATTACAACCTCACTGGGGCCATTTCAACCTCACTGGGGCCCTTTCAACTTTACCAGGGTCGTTTCATCCTCACCGGGGCTGTCCCAGCCTCATAGGGGCTGTCTCAACCTCACAGGGGCCGTTTCAACCTCACCGGGGCCGTTTCAGCCTCACAGGGGCCATTCCAACATCACAGGGGCTGTCTCAGCCTCACCGGGGCCGTCACAGCCTCACAGGGGCGGTCTCAGCCTCATGGGGGCTGGCTCAGCAACACGAAGTTTGGCATTCTGTCTTTTGTTGGACGGTTCCTTGCTGGACAAAATCTCCAGGCATTCTTGCTGGCTGAATTTCTGGTATGCTAGCTTGGATTTTGTTTTGTACTAAGTGCACAGACTGCTTGTCTGCCATCTCCTGGCGTCCCATGTGAGACTGGATCTGGTGGACCTGTTTGTGAGTTTGCTGGTACAGCGGTTCCATGTTGCTGGCCCAGCCAGGTCCAGTTTCAGCTTCCTCTGAACCTGATTCTGCTTCTTGAGTGTGTCCCTTTTTGGTGTGAGGAGTTGAAATCTGCAGTTTGTTGGGTTAAGCTGCAAAAGCACATGTGGTTCCTTTTGTCTCGCCTCCTGTTTTTAAAGTTTTTAAACCAGTTGCTGCTCTGCTTGGGTATTTTTTCCTACTTTGTCTTCTAGCTCATTGACGCGGTCCTCCACTTCTTCTAATCTGCAGTTGATGCTTTCTATTGTGTTCTTTATTGCAGCGATGTCATTCTTCATTTCCTCTTGATTCTTACACATGTTCTTGAATTTGTCTTCCATCCTTTTCAGAATCCTTATGACCTCTGAATTCTTTCTCTGACAAATAGCTTGCCTCAATTTTGTTTATTTCCTTTTCCAGTGATTCCTCCTTTTCTTTTATATGGGGGCTGTTTCTTTGTCTCCTCATTTTCGGTCCTCTCAGGGTGTCTGGTTATATTGCTCACTCTCTACTACGTTGACTTAAAGGCACAAAATACAACATGGCAAGACACAACACTGAGGGCACCAATCACGAATGTATTCATGATACCAATAACCCCAAATAAGGTGACCACCAGAGAAAAAAGAATTAGGGGAGAGAAAGGAGTGCAAACATGATATTGAGAAAGGGAAAAAAGGTAAGAGAGAAAAGAAAGAGAAGAAAAAAGAAGGAAGGAAAATAACTGTATATGTGGAAAAAACTCCAAAAAACCAACAACTAATCAAAAAAATGCAAACAATAAACACTCAGAAAAGAAGGAGGGAAGTGAAGGGCGTACGGGAGGAGGAGTCTGGCCGCTGGGCTCTGGGATCCCTCCGCGCCCGCCAGCTCCAAGTGT